CTTAAAATTCGTAGCCAATTTAATTTTTATATTTATATTCATTTATGCTGGGTATATTCATTTAGACAGGTTTGACTATATGGGTACATTCTTTTAATAATCATTAATTTCAAAAGATATATTGTTACATTTTTTCAGAAATGACTCTAAGTCCAACTCTTTTCTAACTTTGTTTGCATTTGTTTGCTATTTCACTCCAACTTTTAAAAACTTCATATCAGGATTATTTTGTTTATCCTAAAAACCTGCCAGAAGTATCTGACAGTCTTTTTCAATCATGTATAGACATTTTTCAAAATCGTCAATAGTTGATTCTGGCTAATAATTAAAAAAAAAAATATGCTAAAGTTAATTTCAGCCTAGCCAGTTGATTTTTTTTTTCAAATATTTGCTGATTGCATAGTTAGTTTTATTTTTTTTTGTACAATATATAGAATAGAAAAAATAAATTTAAATTTATTTTAAATTTGTCAAGTTTTAAGATCACAATTTCAATTATGACTTGATTTTTTATAATTAATTTTGATTAGTTAATAAAATTTATAGACAATATACATACATATTAGGTTTTAAATTTCTAAATACAAAAAATATCATATATGTGTATATATATGGGGTTATTCATATTAAAAAGGCCCATTTTGCAATATAAACAATTTTGAGATAATTGAGTTTAATAATTTGTTTTGATTTTCGGACTGATCCGGGATTAAGCAAATTTCATGATTTTGATTGGTTAAGAGTAACAGGTGACTATCGGGTAATCTCGTGATATTCTTGGCCTTAGACAGCTTTGTGTAATTTTTCTTTATATTATCTCTATTTTTTATTAAGCAAATCGCCTTTCACTTATAATTAAAAAATGTTAGTCATGTCAAAATTTACATGAATCTAATAAAAACTCATTTTTCAAAAATTTGCAAAATGGGCCTTTTTAATATGAATAACCCCATATGTATATATATAATAGCTTTTTAAAGACTAAATCTCCTTTTTTTATTGGAGTTTTTTTCTAATATACTAACATGTTTCAAAAGTAATTCTACTTTTTTTTTCAATTCTAAAATTTTTTTGGAGTCAGTAAATACACTTGGTTCGGTGTCCACAACTGGCACTGGTTTGGTGTTCACAACTGGCACTAGTTTGGTGCCCACAACTAGCACTAGTATAGTGGGCACTTGTCTAGTAGACACTTGTCTGGTAGGCACTTGTCTGGTAGGCACTAGTCCAATAGGCACTTGTTCAGTAAACACTTGTCTAGTAGGCATTAATATGGTGGGCACTTGTTTGGTAGGCACTTGTCCAGTGGGCACTAGTATGGTAGGCATTTGTCCGGTAAGCACTAGTATGGTGAGCACACTTGGTGGCTCCAGTAATGTATACTAATATACTGTATAGTATTTTTAATCTATAACTATATACTAAAAAAATTTGTGTGTAATGATAATGTTTAGATTACCCATATAAACAATTTTTATTAAATTGTATAACCGTAAATTGTAAAACCTAATTGGCTATAGTTTGACATGAAAAACGGTACATGTTCTAGTCTTTATAGTTACAAAGAATATTACAAAGAATATTATATACTGATATTTTTTATAAACGAAAAAACTCACACCTATATTACCAAACAACTGTTATAACTAACCTGTAAGTATAATCACAAGTGTAATACTAGCAATAGTAAAAACACAAATAAATTCTGTAACTAACTTTTTTTTTTTTTTTTTTTTTTTTACAGTACCTCACTATAGAATGCCGTATTCCATTCGCCAAGGTCTTCCAGGTATAGTACCCCCTATAAAATATACATATTTCAAGCTTCAAGACACCCAAATTTGTAAAAGACCTGAGTACTTTGGTTAACGGAATACTGTATTTATTTACTCAATGCAATAACTTTAACCATATACTGCTGTGTTCCTGGAATAATGAGTAAGTTTTGCATTATTTTTTAAACTAACTTACTCTTAACACTTGCTATAGATCAACAGAATAGCGAGTAAGTTAAGTACCAGAATTTTATTATAATATCCCTAGCAAGTCCTATACCAGAATTTTTCATAGTAACTCACAACAAAAATTATGCAAGTCCAATACAAATTAACTCATCTTTTACTCATCACTAGAATAGTTAACTCTTTATTACAAAATGTGTTTTACAAAATAGCATAATAGAAGTTTTTTATGATAGAACCTCCATTTATTTTATCTGTACAGTAACTCATAATAACTTCATAATCTGCTACAAACTATCACAACCTTACTTATGTATGTACTGGCTGACAAGTAGGTTTGGTAATCAACTTTTTTGTTGTAACTTATAATAAAATAATTATAATTCCAATGCAACTAACTTATTCTTACACATTTACTATTGTCAACAGAATTGCAAGTATATTCTGTAGCAGAGTTTTCGATTTTAACTCAAATTCCATTGAAACCTAGCAATTCTTACCCACTTACTAAGCCCTATACCAGAATTTTCATTATAAGAATTATGAGAATTCCAATATGACTTATCATATACTATACATTACTAGAATAGCAAGTAAGTTCTTTACCAAACTTTTTTGCATTAATTATTAGGGATCCAAACAGTCATCTGGGTAACCGTGTACCTGACTACCCGACCTGAAATTTTTATCAACTGGGTCAGACTTTTAGCAAATCGGTTGACCCGAAACCTTTTACTAATCG